GAGGAAGGCGTGTCTGTCGGTCCTTTCCCGACGGGAGAGGTCGATGACGGGCAAGACCGAAGCTTCATCTAGCCGTCAGATCCTGTGCCTGAAGTTCTTGGTGAGTTGTCTTGTCGTTCTTTGCGAAGTCTAAACATTGGCAGCAGGGCCGTAATAAAGCGGTGGGGCCCGACGTCGTTAGGTTTTACTCGTCAAATCTTTTTTGTTCCACTCGCCGACTTTCGCCTCCACAGCCTCCCACCCCTAGGACGGGGGCCGTTGGAGAGCTTGAGTTGGTTGAAAAAGTGCCCTTTTACCTTTAGAGCGGAATGTATTGTCCGAAGTAAATCGAGACAATTATCGAAGGCCTCGGTCAGGCTCCGTCTCCTTTTTAGGTGGGACCTGTTAAACACTACAGTGAGTTAGGAGAACAAACCCAGAGATCCTGGCCCTGAGTTATACTGATAGGAAGCGGTAGCAGTGGAATTTGAACCTAGGCCTGTCTCATTTCAAAGCGGGTGCTCTTCCCCGGGTTTACTGCGTGGTTCGTTTGGGAGGAGGGTAAAAGTAGTGGGCTTGAAGGATAAACACATACTCTAGTTACATACTCTAGTTATTCTGATTCCGAAGAGACCTTGGTAGGCTTAATAGTCAACAAAAACGTCTTTGAGAAGGTCGGCCCTGAAGCAGACAGCACAAGTGGGAGAACTGAAGCAAAGGTAGGTATTACACTTAACAAGCATTTTAAAAAATCTAAAAGGCAAAGATTACACTAGAGGAGTCTGCAGCCTGAGAGTGAAGAAACATATTTATCTAAGAAAAGCTCTAACATTCACAAAGCGGTGGGGCAGGGAAAACAGACATAACATCAAATCACGGCGGTACATAATCTCAGGCCCCCAAACAGTGCACAAGAGAAACAAAACTAAATGCTATGTAATAAAAATCACTAAAGAGGGAATGACTATTTCCTGTGTAGAAAATTGGGAAGACATGACCTTGGCGTGTTGGAGAGTTGTGAGATGGGTTTGACCAGAGCAGAGAGGCTATTTCAGATTGCTGGGATACATAAAAGCGGGGCCATGTTAGGAAAAGCAGGATATGGAGGTTTACCTGATTTCATAGAACTTAGAGAACCATTTGCATTTATCTCAGGGGAGTATCAAAAGTAGCTTCTTAAAATTTAGGGCTTTATTGAACCTCATGTTGGTATTTAGTAATAAAGACCTTTGAATGAATGAATATTTTTTAATAAATATATTCGGTATGGATGTCTACTTTGGAGCTTAAAGCTGCGATCTCTTTCTTCACCAGACTCTTGCTGTTTGGAAAAGCTGAGTTTAGATGAAATACTCCCCTTCCCTGCCCACACACACATTGTGAGTTTAAAGTTTCCAAATAAATGAGAGCTGTTTTGGCTCTGATATTCATGTGATTTTAAAAAGCTTTAAAGGTTCTAGTTTATACACAAATCTTCAGAAAGACGAGAGAGATGATCAGATATTTTTTATTTCTACATATTGATCCTGAGAGGTATGTTATCTTTAAAAAGACCCATCTATGTTTTCAAAACTGAAACATCTCTGAGCCTGAGTCTCGGTAAGTAGATTCATTCCTTTAGCTTTTTAAAATCTACATGGACTCTTCTAGGAGCCCCATTTTTTCTGTAAACATTTGTTCAGTGCCTCCCTTCGAGACTGGACCCTAAATACTTCTGGTTGATGGTGACCTATCTATGAATTTAGGCAACTCACCAGTTACAGGTGGTGGACACCCAAGCCTACATTCCGCTCCCTCATCCAAAACCAAACCTTCTCATCCTTGGCCCTCCCTCCTAATGAACTTAGGGCTTCATATGATCACTTGCTTCAGAGCCGTGCAGTTTATGGGAGAACTCACCGAGGAGCTCCTCCCTGCCTCCCTGCAGGCCTCGTGCCCCAAAGCAACTTCTTATTCATGAATTGGTTGGTTGGTTGGTTGGTTTTTGTTAAATCCACCAAATTACAGCTTTACTCTTTCTTAAAAAAAGAAATACCCGTACCTCCGAGAGTGTTAAATATCTGAGTTCTTTGCACAGCTTAAATAAGTGGGAGGGTGGCCAAAGATGAGTTTTGGCTTTTTCAAAACCATCCCTAAGGCCAGTGCATGCCCAGGAGTAGAGGAAAAGTCATCTCCTCTTCCTTCTCCTTTGAAAAGTACTCTTAGTATTTGCAGTGGAACTGTGTTAATTAGGCCATCCTCTTTTTCTGTAGAGAAAGTGCATTTCAAGTTCTAGATACCTAACTTAGTTTACGACTAAGAGAGCTCCAGAAGTTAGTGTGTGCATAAGAAAATACACGTCTGCTATAGAAGCAAAATCCCCAATTCTGAATTAGAGATAGATAATAGTAGTTATTTGCCACCCTTCGAAGTCCTGCGCTTCCCATCCCTGGAAGTGAGACTACCTTGATAGGAGGTTGAATTCGATAACCTCTGAAGTCCCTTCCAACACAAAGATTCTAAAATTGTATGAAACATAGTATTTTTGAAAAATTAACCAGCCTCTTCATAAGAGCATTAATATTCTAAAGCTTATATATGCCTTAGAAACCAGATTATTTTCCCATTCTAACAGCAAGCTTTTAACTCTACCTTCCTCTCTTTACTCTGATAAACTTATATGTTTTCTGACCTTTGAGAACATTCCCACTTTTCTTTACCCTTATCATTCCATTCCGTTCTGCAGGCCCTTATCACTTGCTCATCTGACTTGAGGCAGTCTGGAATTCCTACACCAGCTTGCCTTCTAGAGGCAGATAGCCTGTGTCTGAGTGTCTTACACTGCTTACTCTCTTTATTGTGATATCTTTGCCACTTACAGAAAATTCAGCTGTAAATTACAGGAAGTCCAACAAACAGGCTTAATGAGAAGACCTTGATTATTTGCATCCAAGGTCCCAAGACCACCCTCAGATTTGATGAGCACCTATCAAAATTGGGGTTTCTTTGGCAAGAAAGAAGTCCCGGGATAGGCTATTGGGCAGGTGGTCGATGAGGTGGGTCTGCCCCATCATAACGGACGAATCATTTATCCTCCGTGAGCCTCAGCTTTCCTACCTGTAAAATAGGCAGATTATACCGACTCTTTTCAGGATGATCGTAAGACTAAAATGACATCATGAAAATGGAGATAAAATGACTACTTTCAGTGTCTGCGATCTGCCCCCTCCTTCCTTAAAGTTGTGGCGGCGTACCCATTCACAGATGTTTTACTTCCTTTTCTTTGGTTTCACCCTCTCTTGTGCCTAAGTTCCAAAAGTTGACATTATACTCCTGTTACTTCCTGTTAACTCTTATCTTAGTCTGAATTTTTTCTAACCATTTAATAAAAACTATCTTTAACTTGGTGTCAGTTGATGTCTTGGCAAAATTAATAAACCACTTCTTGTTTTTATGAGCTTCTTACCTGAAAATCTCCTGCCATGCTCTCCTACTTCCCTCTCCCTGTGACTTCGGAATCCAGGCCACTCTCTAATTACTCCTGGGAGAGCTTTTCCCTCCCCCTTTTGAGTGCCTCCGTTTAATGAATAATGTTGTTCCTCTGGTTGTCTTTAAATCTTTTGTTTAGCAGTGGACATTCTTTGAGCCAAAAACTGCTTTCTTCCATGTTCAGTGTGTTCAGCGTATCCACCCACGGAGTCCTTAAGATCCGAGAGTTGAGATTATTATACCAAAATACCAGTTTTTAAATGACAGTCCTCCCTTAGGAAAAAAATGTCAGTTCTAATTCAAAATGTATTCCTGAGAAATCTTAAAGGTAACCCTGCTGTTTTAGAACTTTAGATTTCTTTATCTGCAAAGGATATTTTTACAAAGTGTGGCTGTCTACCCATTTTATCATACTCCTCTGGGCAAGTAGAGTAGTCATAGCCGAAGAGAAATGGGGGATCTTCCTAAGCTCAGCACTTATTATGTCACTCCTTATTCATCCATCCTTAAATACTTGCTGGTCATTCCGTCGGTGAATCAGACAGCCTTGACCCCTGCCCCAGTCGGGCTTAGGATGGGCCATCAGTCTAGCTGAGAAGACACATTCGCCAGGTAATCAATCGGTAGAGTGTCATGAGTATTGTTGATCAGATAACATGGGTGCTGAGAACACATCTTGGGTGCCTGCTCCAGGCAAGGAGCCAGGGAACATATCCCAAGAACTATGCAGAGACCCACAGGATATGTAGAGTTGGCCAGGTAAAGGAAGGACAGATAAAAGTGTTTCAAACCAAGAAATATGTTTCAGGCCTCTCGGAGAAACTCAAGAATTTCTTGTGGTCGTGAATGTAGAATAGGAGGGGGGAGAATGAGACTGGAGACAAGTAGTGACCTGTGGTGTAGTTACAATGGAGTGTTGATGTCATTGACAGATGGACGCCACCAGACACAGTGGGAGAAAGTAGACTGTTTAATGGTAAGGGATGTGGGAAGTGGGAGAAATGGTTGCTGAGCAGTATTGCTGCTCCAGGTACAAGTTGCATGATTCTCTGCAAGTGCCACGCAAAGTGAGAAGTTAACCAGGTATGCCAAGCTCCCTTTGCCATTCCTACTGGACTTTCTCCCTGTGTGAGTATTGTGAGAGTCACACACACACACACACACACACACACACACACACACACACACACCGCCCCCCTCCCCCGCCCCCTCAGCAGGTGCAAGTGGCAGAAGCAAGACTGCCCTAACTTACAGAGTCTTTCCCAGGGGATGAGATTCAAAGGCCAGTTGCCTTGGAGCATTCCCCAGCAGGTCCAGCTACCTGGGTCACTACCTGTGGCCCAGATTGTACAGAGTATGGACTTGGAAAGGATATTTTTCTACAAATAGGCCTTTATATACTCGTGCAATAGAGCCTTGACATACATGTCTTTTCAAGTTTTCAGGAAAGTTAGTTTTGTTTTGGAAAGGTGAAAGTTTGTGTCTTTCAGTTTTAATTTTGTTCTACATATTTGCTCATTATTATTAGAAGGATTTATATTTATATTAGGGCTTGCCAAGATTTCTATTTATTAAAATCCACCAGATTTATCATGGGATGGGTTAATCTAGGAAAGGAGGGGCATTTTTTTCTTTGAACAAGAGGGAAGAAGGAGAAAATAAAGATGGGATACTTAAGATCTAAAAAGGAAGAAAAATAGAAAGGAACCTTGATCTTATTTGTGAAGTTGGAGGGAAGATTATTTACTGAGATAAGTTAGAACTGGGGACTGGAGAAGGGCAACACAGTTTGAAACAGCTACTGGGGGAAAACTGGGGAGCTTGCTAAGGGTCTTTGAAAGAGATGAACAGAAGGCCCCACAAGGATGGCTAATCCACCAAGAAAGTGTAGTACTGTCACTGTTTTCCATTTTTTGTTTCCAGTCCTAACTAACAAGGAACATGCTCTGTGGTTTAAGATACTTCTTAGAGCTCTTTAAGGGAGAAGTTACAAATACAATAAACCGTTGTATTTGTAACTGAATGGAACATAGACCTTTTTTTTATTCTTTACAGACTATCTATTTACCTTTGCAACTGCCGCTACAAAGAAGTTAACTGAATCAGTTGCCGAAACAGCACAAACGATAAAGAAATCAGTAGAAGAAGGAAAGATAGATGACATCATTGACAAGGTACATTTAAATCTTTTGGTAGTAGAAATTTATGAAATTCATTAGCAGCTAATACTGTCCCTTCTTATGAGTTTTATTAACCCAAGTATGATATATCTTGATAAAAATATTAATAGTTGAGATTCTTGTTTTTTTCTCATTTTGTATAACAAGTAGCTATGATATTAATTATCCAATTTAAATAACCTTGGTTTTTATTTTACTATAGTCTAAAATATATCGATGCTTTGGGTAATAGTAAACTTTTCATATTATGAGTTTAATCTTCAACCGTAAGTACTGATCATATTTATGCTTTTGCATCATTTGGAAAAGTTTTTAAAGTCCTAGGCTCATTAGGAACGACCCTTTTAAGATGCTAAGGAGTGAGTTTGTTCATTTTTTACAGTAAAATAAGGGCCTAGGGAATTTCCTTTATGTTGATAATTATTTGAACTAAGGAAGTCATCAGCTAATCTTTAGATAGCTTATTAGATATTTTTGTTGTTTGTACAATTTGTTAGAATGAGATTTGACCTGTCTCATTTTTTTGAATAATGCAAAATTTTAATTTCAATTCATTCGATTTTTGCATTTGAAAAGATAATTCTTCATAAAGGGGGTTGTATACTTAAAAGTCAAAAACCATTTCATTGTGGAAAGAGGGAATTATCACTTTTTTATCCTTTTTGAAGAAAATGAATAAAATGTTTCAGACTTCACAAATCTTAAATGTAATTCTTATCTAATAATAAACTTTTCAAGGTAATTTGACTCTTCATGTATTTTTTTGACAGACGATTATAGGAGATTTCCAGAAGGAACAGAAAAAATTTGTCGAAGAGCAGAATACAAAAAAATCAGGTATAGTATAGGTTTGTTAGACACGGTTTACTTACCTGCTAAGTTTTATCAAGCGCCTATTACATGCAGGCACTACAATAAGTCTCTGAGAATACAAAAATGTGTAAGTAACGACCCCCATCCTTTGGTAGAGCAAAGACTAGTGGGGGACACAAACCCCTAAAACTTCGAGGTTTAAAAGAAGGAAAGAATCATTTCCTGCGGCTGGAATGGTGGGCGAAGCCAGCCAGTGATGGCCCCTCTGAGGATCTGGCCCTGAAAAAGAGAGTAAGCTTTCATTTCTCACTTATAACATGTCCGCACAGTGTCTCATGTACACTTAGCAAATGTTGACTTCCTTCCCATTCTCTTCAGAAGAAAAAAATGAAGGAATTTTCCAGGATTGTGACAGAGGGCCATGAAAAGTTATGGGGGTTTGGGGAACTTAATACATTTCTTTACTGACAAATGCTTGTTTAAATGTTTGTAGTTATAACATCTCAAAATGTCTACTTTTACTGTTTAGTGGAGCTCAAACACAAAACTGTCTTTAAATTTGGCAGAAGTAGGGTAAAATAATTCAGTTGGTTTGAGCAGTGCTACAAATTTTAAATGAACTAGTTAGTCCTGTGACAAGTTCCTGTCAGGCATTTGTCGTGCCTAGGTAAACTCAAAAGTATGAAACAGCAATTTGGGACAAATAAACCATACAAATTAGCATAACTTAGTGATTAATGGGAAGTGGAAAAATCACCCTGGCTTGGGGACCTGGTGTAGGAGCTTGGGTGTCGCCTCTGAGATAGGAATTGTAAGGGCATGGGGTGAAAGATCTGCGGTGTTTAGGGGAGGGGAGGAGAGGGGAGGAGCGGAAGGGATTGACAGATTCGGAGCGCCTGCTAAGCGGCAGGCACTTTATATGTACTATTTCCTTTAATAAAAGGAAAGATAAGGTAAGTCATTTGTTGAAGGTCACTCAGCTGGTAAGTGACAAAACAAATCTGCCATCAAGACCAGTGTCCATTTAGCCAAGAGAGAGAACAGCTAGGAGAGAAGCAGAGAGAGAGAATTTCAAGGTCAACTGAGAGGAAAGGCACTGTGTAAGAGCTCCACATTCATTCGTTTGCCTGACACTCACAATAACTCTATGAAGTATTTACTATTATCTCCATTTTTCAGAGAAGGGAACTGGCCTAGAGAGAGAAGAACTAGGAAATGTCCGTGGGGTTGGCCAGCCAGGAGGTTATTGGTCATCTAAATAGAGCAGTTTCAGAGGAAGGGGGTGTGAGGGGCGTCTTATCCTGACAGTAGCTTAGGCCTTGGGAGGACCTCATTATCTGAGCATAAGTAATGCTAGGAGAAGCTGCCCAAGGTAAATAAGACTTAAAACGGAGACCAAAATGTTAAATAGTACAAGAAAAATTTTAGAGGGTCTTTACCCTAATGTTTTTTTAAAGTATGAAAATGTTTATTTTATCTTATAATGAACAGAATTTAGATGATAATTGCCGCCATTTGCTTGTTTAGGATTAGCTGAAGAATGAGCTGGGTGTCTGTCCAGCTGCCCATGTGTCTGTCCATCCATGCAGCACTGAAGTTTTCTACCAGTTAGCACACAATAGGACGTCTCTTCCATTTGACTTTTGCAGCATAATAGTAAAAGGGATTATTTTTGCAAAAAATACGAGGACCCTCTGCGCGTATGTCTTCTGTGCTGACCCCCCACCTCCGTAGGCTTAGCTCTGCCCTCTTGCCCTGCTCCAGGCTCAGATGATACAGCCGCACCCCTTGAATACCCCATCACACACCCACCACTGAACTCCTCCTCCTAGTCCAGTATGTGCTCTCAAGTCACCACAGAAACCCCATGGGACTCCCCTCTCCAGGCGATTGGCATTTGTCATCTGGCACGATAATGGTGCTGAGTCGTAATCATCTTGTTTTCTTGCAAGCCCCAGAGACACAGGCTGGGTGTTAGGTGTCTTGGTATTCTTAGCACTTCTCTTCTAAAGCGTCGGAGGATTTGGTCCCAGCACTGTTCATCACTCCCGATTAGCCCATTTCTTTCTTCATTTGCTTTCACTGCTGACAACGCTTTTCTCATTTCCTAACGGCTCATCTTGCAGCTTCCTTATCACTTTTTGTCCTGAGTCAAGTACGGTAACTTTTTATAAAAATTTGTATTAGGAAACAATTTCAATATACAGAAAAGTTGCAAGAATAAAAGTAGTACAGAGAACTACTACCGTATACCTAGATAGTTAAAGTTTTCCAGCTTTAGGAACTTTTACATTGATGTAATGCTCACATTCTAATTTCATCAGTTGACCCAGTAAGGTCCTTTATACGTTTTCCACTTCAACACAGCATCCAGTCCAGGGAACAGTGCTACATTTTTTTGTCATGTCTCTTAGCCGCCGTTAATCTGGAACGTTTCCACAGCTTTTCTTTGTTACATCATTAATGTTTTTGAAGAGTATCCCCTCCACACACATACACACCTTTTTTCATTAAACCATTCCTCATTTGGGTTTTGTCTGATATTTCCCCACGATTAGATAGATTCATATTATGTATTCTTGGCCAGAATACTACATAGATGATGTGTCCTTCTCAAGATACCATGTGTAGAGGGCCACAGTGGCCATCTTTCTCCTTAGTGATGCTGATTTTGGTTACCTGGTCAAGGTGTTGCCCAGTTTCTCCACTATGTGATTCAAGTAATTTTTTACCAAATGATACATTAAGTCTGAGAATTATGATGAATCGTCATATTTGGGACTCATTAGGAAGTTGCTAAAATAGTTATGTGGAAACTTTTCAAACCACGGATTATATTATAACCCTGTAACCTGTTTTCCTCTGTTCTTTGCTGTTAAAAACCTTTTAGAAGCAGCAGTGCCACCGTGGGTTGATAGTAATGATGAAGAAACAATTCAACAACAAATTTTGGCCTTATCCGCTGTAAGTATCTTGTGGTATTCCATGTAGTGGTACCTTCTTCCTATAGTGACTTTATCTTTAGCAGAATGGTCTTCTATATAATTTAAAACATATTTTGAGATGTCAGGAATGTACATATCAACTTTCACTGGTTTTTGTCACTAACTTTTAATTTGCTTAAGTTACTTTTTCTTTATGGAAAAGTATGGCCTATTGCACAAAATGATTCTTTCGGCTTTTTATGTTACTAAGATAGATAATCTTTTGAAATATGCTATCATAGAAAGTTTGTAGACAGCATTTTAATTCTGAATGAAATGATCGTATTCCAAATTTTCTTTTTAACTGCTATATGTATTTGTTTGAAACCGAAATGGAAAGAAAATTCCATAGAAAAATCTCTCTTGGGAATGTAGCAATGCCAGTTAACAATTATATAGATCTGGCAGTTTCAGAAAGCACTTTCTCACACATTATCTCTTTTGAGCCTCGCTGCACATCTCCGCGGTAAGTAGGAGCTTTTATTGCCATTGTACAGGTGTGGGGACCGAGACTGTCGAATGTGCCCCTCACTTATCTGTGTCTCCTCCACTAGGCCGTAAACTGTTAGTGGGCAGGCACTGGCTTTAATCTCTATCATCAGCACCAAGCACCCCTCCTGGCACAGGACTCAGTGAATAGAGCTTTTTACTTTATCGGTGGTTTTCTGGCTTTGTTTTTAACCCACTTTTATTTTTAAAACAGTCATTAAGGGAACCTCAGTCTAGACAACAGACACACATAGAACTGGGCTTCAGCTCCCTTCCAGTGTACTCCCCCCGAGCATCTTAAGGTTTTTCTTTCCATTAGTAAGCCCTTCAAAGGCCTGAGCACCCATTTTCGAGTTTAGTGTGAACACCATGTAATTTGTTTACCATATTACGGCCAGACTTGATATTGACATCACATGCCTGCTTCTCCCCAGAAGGGAATTGGGATGGTGAAAGTCTGTTTCATTTGAAGGCAGATATCAGATACTCACCATTCAAGTCCCCTCCAGCTTCTCTGTTCCCAAACCTGTTCCTCTTCTCATCTTCTCCATCTCAGGGTAAGACTCTAGTTATTCACCAATTTTTTCTAGCCACAAACCTAGGGGTCTTCCTAGAGTCATACCTTCCTTCCCACCTCTGCCCCAGTCCTGACGATGCTGTTTTCAGAATACAGCTCTCTCTAGTCCACTTCTCTGCTGCCACAGCTGTGGTCCTGTGGTCCATCATCTCCTGCCCAAGGCCTCCCAACTGTTGTCCTGTCCTTACCCCTCTCCAATACAGGCTTATCTCAGCAGCCAGAGGGGTCCATTTACGGAGTAAATCACTTCATGTCACTGCCCTACATAGAATCCTCTAATGGCGTCTCACATCTCATAGACTAAAATCTAAACTCCCTCTGCTGGCTTCTAAGGTCCTGGACTTTACACACCTCTCCTCCTTCGTGTGTCACTGCCCTGGCTGCCAGCACCCCAGCCACTGTTTCTTTCTGGTGTACAACCAGGCCCAGTAGAAGGCTGCTATAGAAACTTGGGTGAAACATTATTGGGGCAATTCCAGGCTTTGAAATTTTTACATCGGAAGGTAAAATAACTAAAATCCATTGAAGCTTAGATTTGTTCTTGATTTATTAATGTAGGAATTCTCAAAAAACAAAAATATTGTTAAAATCCAACATGGGCAAGATAAGACGAAACTGGTGCTTTAGCAGCGGCATAAAGTGCTGCAATCTTTCTGGAGGAGAGTTTGGGCCGTACGCGTCAAAATAATCCACTCTTGGACCAGAAATTTAGTCTAACGAGATCACTGTAGAAGAGAATACAAGTTGTCTGTAAAGTGATGTCACTTGCAGAGTTCTTTATAAGGAAAGATTAGAAACAACATGCTGACTGCTGAAACGGGCATGGTTAAATAAATTACGGCTCATTCAGTGTAGACACATCTACTTAGGAGATGGGAAGATGTTCATGACCCTGAGCAAAAAGGGAAACAGGTGATCCACAGCATGTGGAGTGTCTTCCTATTTATGTCCCCATTGTATTTGTGGAGACACTGTGTATATGCAGAAAGACATGTCCAGGAGGGTTTTCATGGGCTTGTTTATGAATGGTGGGCTTTTTGATGCTATGGTGTTTCGAATTTTTAAAAAACAGGTGTGTATCATATTTATCAACAAAAAGGTGGGTTTTTAAGAAAAGAAATAGAAACAGTCAATCTTAATGGTTCGAGTGGTCCAAAGCAGCAGCTTTTTGCCTTGGTCATGACGCTCGGTCCGTAGGAGAGGGAGTGGTTCGGAGACATCTTTTATACGCTCATCAGTGTGAGGCATGCTCCATCTCATAGGAATTCAAAGTCACCCTCATTTCTTAGGCAATTTGCCCTATCCAGGGTCAGGCAATCCAGGGAAGCGTGGACTTTGGCTCTTTCATTTCGTTTCCTTCTTGGCTGACTGAGGAGTGGTCCAGGAGAGGCACGGACTCACGGCTCTTCCAGGTTGGGTGTAGAGGGCCCGGGGTCATTGGAGAGTCACAGTGGCACCCTGCCAGGATTCCCACATTAAGTACTGGCTGTGTGGGTCACAAGCCGTACACGGGTCTCCTGTGAAGGGGGTGCTTTCTCTCATACAGTCTTGGGTCGAATTTCTTTTTAACAAGTCTCCGATTTTAATACACTAATGACAGAATGTTCGTATAAATGTTTGCATGACATTTTATCAGTGTGTTGACTGTACCTCTTAATGAATTGTGGGTTATCTAACCCTTAGTTTAAGTTATCCTAAACCTCAGTGCAGCAGCATGCAGAATTCACTTGAAGTTGTTATTCGTTGGATAGTTTTCAAAGCAGATTGGTATCCGGCAGGGCAGAGAAGAGCTGAGGGGAACCAGTCACTTCACTTTCCTCCTCTCCCCACTGGCACCACGCCTTCTGCGTCGGAAACTTGCTGGAGGCAGAGTCTGCAGGAGTGGGCAGCTGAAGGTGGCAGGGTCTCAGTGTCTTGCTGTCCCTGTAAGGTTGTCACACCTGTGGCTCCATTCTTGCAGAACAAAGTGAATGTCCTAGATGAAACTGGAATGGACAGAGCCTGCCAGGTGTTCTGCTGGCAGTCTGCTGGCTTTGCGGCTGAGTCAGCGTGGGAGGTGTGCTCCACCCGGAGGGGAGGCTCGGGGTCCTGGCCCTACCCCTCGCTAGGCACACACTCCGCCTTGGACAAGCCATGTTGCTCCCCTGGCACAGTTTCTTCATCTGTAAAGTGAGGCTGGAAATGCTCGCTTCACAGTGTCCTGACAAAGAAGCTGGGGTGTCGGGTGGAGGCCCAGGCCCTAACATTCGTGCTCAGCGAGGGTTTGTTGACTGAACCAAAACTGAGCCTTCCCCCAGCCTGGCCACGCTCTGCGGAAAAGCCGCACTGTGTCTCTCTGTCACCCGGGCGTTCCTGGGCCCTTGGTACAAGGACTGACCCGTGGAACTTTGCAGAGATTTGTCAGGGTGTTGAGAGGTGTGGGACGAAGGCCTGGTCCACGCACGCTTTTCTGACATGACCACCGTGGTTAGCCGACTTCAACTTCGGGTTAGAATGTTTTTAAAATCATTTACACTAGTTTTCAGATACCTAATAGTGCCTACTAAAACGTATTCATGTGATTTCAAACTATGTAATTTCAGCTAATTGCACGATTGCATTTCCTGGTCTCCCACAAGGCTCTCTCCACTTGAGACTAAAAAAATATATGAGGATCAGTTGTTTTCTGCTCTCTCTTAAGCAGAGAGGTTAACAATAGCTCAGCGGACTTCGCAGCTGAATTCTCGAGAATTCAATATTTGCCAAACCGAGAGTGCATTGTTATATATTAATCGCATTCTGTGGTTTCCCCCTTTTCATCAAAGGACAAGAGGAATTTCCTCCGTGACCCTCCAGCTGGTGTGCAGTTTCATTTTGACTTTGACCAGATGTACCCAGTCGCCCTGGTCATGCTCCAAGAGGACGAACTACTGAGCAGAATGAGATTCGCTCTTGTTCCTAAACTGTAAGCACCGTGCTCCCGATTAGAAGTGGCGCCGCTCACGGACATGCGTGTGGGTTCCCTGGTCGCGTGCGCCGTGTGGGGGGAGGATTGTGGGATGGGGGCTGGAGCAGTCTGACTCTTCGTAGAGATGGGCTCTGCGGCCCTTCAGCGGCGCACACGCGCAGGGCACCACAGAACGGACACCAGGAGTGGACTTTCAGGACGTTCGGAGAAGGGCCGAGGTGCGCCCTTTTACCCTCTGGTTAGAAGGTACAACACACCTTCCTACACAAACGCACCGCTGTCTCCTGCATGCGGCGAAGGTCCATGAGGCCCGTCGTGAGTCGGGACCGGGGGCCGCCTCTTCTGACGCGGGCCCTGCTCCCTGGCAGCAGCATTGTTCTCCTCTTCCCCACCTGCTGCTTTCCCTCTGCCCGAAGGCCTGCCCCCCTCCCAAATCCCGAATTACTATTATGCTCATAAGTGCAGTACAAGCATAAAGTCTTCCGTGACAGCCACCAGCAGTGGGTCCCCTCCCCCTCTGCCACCCCAGGCTCTTCGCCTTTCTAATTCTGATCCCTTATTGCGAGCCTCACGTTTTCAGAGTCAGCGGTCTGTCTCATTGAGTACTCTTTTTTTTCCTAGTACTCTATTCTTAGTATATGGATGCAGTGTCTTACTGTCCTCTGAGGACATGAAGTATGGTTTTCTTGAGAGAGCTCTTTTCTCTGAATCTCCGTGTTCACTTTGGGCTGTCTTTCGCATTGCAGGCTTTCCTTACCCGTCCTGTGGGTGAAGGCGCCGTGCTGGAAGGCGCTTGCGGTTGTGTGTTCCCACAGGCCTTTTGGGCCTGGTGGCTTCCCTTAGAGGACTCCTCAGCCTCCTGCCTGGCTGCAGGTAGAATAACAGGGACAGTCTGGCCCCTGTGGCTTCAGTCTGGCGTTACACCCCCATTCTCAGCTGTGCCACCCGTCCCTGAGTGCGGAGCGGCTTAGTCACGGAGAACCCTCAGTCTCTGCCACGTGGGATGCGAAGCCATCTCACCACTCCTGCAGGGCCTCCCACCGCTCCTCCTGTCTTGAGCCCAGACTCGGAACAACACTTCCATAGAATCTTTTCTTTTTAGTGAAACTCTTCTGTCCATAGTTATTAACATGTTGGAGGCGAATTACTATTATGCTCATAAAATCCTGAGAGTTGGCTTTTGAACAGTTCCTATCTATGTATCTGTTTGAAGCCCTTTCATCTCAGAATGTCAGATCGTAGCTATTCCGAATAGCTGCCCCTTCCTGAGAGAAGAGCAGCAAAGCGCTGGGGTTCAGCTGGGCTTTGCACCCGAAGGCTCCGTCAGCTTGAAGACCATCGGAATCACCTGGGCCATGCAGTGCGCTGTCTGCTGATGCCCTTTGGACTGTCCAGAGGCCCTGAGGTGCTGGAACATCACAGCTACACAAAAGTCTATGGTTTTTGACAGTTCTAGACTCCTCACTACTGACAGTAATTTTAGATGTTTTAAAGCTTGGGAGAATTGATATTTGGCAAATAGTATTTTGGATCTGCCATTGGCCGAGTAAACTTCCCGTTGAGTAATATAATTCTGGTTTCCTACTGCAAATTCTGTTAAAGATACTTTAGAAATTAGGGTTATTATTTTTATGTCTTTATCTGGATGGAAGGATATATCTGGCATTGCCTTAAAATATTCCAACCCCCACCCAAAGAAAAGCATGTGTGGCGGGGAGGGGAAGAGGCATAGATGAAATGTGACTGGCAAAGCGCCGATAATTACTGAAGTTAGGTCACGGGCACGTGGGCGTTCTTTGTTCTAGTCTCTCCACTGTTGTTGAAATTTCCAGAATAAAACCAAACTGAGCCATCACACATAAATATAGGACTTGTGCACTTTTCCTTCAGACATACAGAAGTGCAGGTTGGACCATCTGGGACACTTATTCTGAACAGAAGCCGTCATTAACCAGGAACAATGTAGAAAACACTTGCTATGTGTTCGCACGTACCTTTACTGTGTTAGCACTTCCCTATGACAGCAGCGCGGCCGGAGACAGGGTCCCGCTGGGACATTGCAGGTACCCACCGAGGCCTTCACGCTGGTGACAGCAGGGAAATCACAGTCCTTTCCAGGCCTGGACTATGACATATGCACATTGTTTCCCAGAGGCTGGTCACAGCATACGAATGCCTTAAAACAGTCCGTTAGAGCAAAAGCTGTCAGATAAACGTTTGAGAGTTGGTACCTTCAATGGATTCTTTATTGTAGGGCTTCTCAGAACATTTAGTATGTCACCAGAGGGTCACCAGATATTTCTGCAGTGTGCTTGTCACCACTTCTTCTATCAGGAGGGAGAGACTCTGGAAAAGAAAACAATTAAGATGTTTTGTTTTACAAAAAGAGCAAACATTGGCCTTGATCCACTGTGGATAGAGAGTACACTGTTTCATCTTGTTCATCTCACAGCACTCAGAATTAAAAGTGACCTTGACAATATTCAGGCCACTCACTATCTCATGGGAAGGCTAATCTCACTTTTGTGTAGCTGTGATGTTACAGCGTAAGGCCCTGGAACTTGTCCGGGTGAAAGCCCCAGTTGTTGGATTTGTTCCCCGGGGTCCTAGTCTCTGTACCCCCTCACGTACGAATTATTACTCTCCGGAAGTGAGTTCCCCAAAGTGGACATGATGTGTTGCCTGCTTTGCAGGAGTGCACACTGTAGTGCGTCTTGTATAATTTTAATGCAGCCTAAGGTTTCAGTAACTCCTCCAGCAAACGCAGCACGCTATGCCAAACTTGTGGGCTCTGACCCCTGCTGACTGTACGTCAGCCAGGTCTCCCTCCTGCCACGCTACTTGCACAAGACCTTATGAGAAGAGAGTTGTGAGGCCACATGAGTTTGGGAAATGCTGCTCAGCACGCGGTAAGAACTGAACAAGTAAGAGGTCATTATTCCTGTCACCATCTACGTTGGTCTTATTCATCCTTTAATCCCCCAGCACTGGACCCGGTGCACGTGGCACCTCGAGTATTTGTGGGATTAATGAAAGAAAAGATGGTTGCCTCTGGCAGCCTTGTTACCTGGCCTCGTTTGTGTAAATAATCTTGCGTTTTGCCTCTGGCACTTGAAAAGTTAGCTTCCTGGCCCAGCTTCTCCTTTCACAGACTTGGAAACCATGTTCTGATGTCCTAAGGTAAGTCCTGTCCTCATTCACAAGCCTGGGCCTCAGTGTTTTCTCTCAGTTCTCGCTGATTTTCTTCTATTCCTCCCAAGTCTTCCTGTCATGCTTTCCTCCTTGATTTCCTCCCATCTAAGAACCTCCATCCCTTCTAGTAAACCAGGAGGTACAGAGGCATTCTCTCCTACTCTTGTGTCATTTCTACTAGCAAAGCATTTTTAGAATATAAAACGAGCAGTTTGTCCAGGCAAAAAAAAACTGCATATATCCCTCAGGTCATCAGAGCTGTTCCTTGGCTGTCTCAGTTTGTGAGGGGTACGCATTGTGTGTTTTTGCTGAGTCTTCTTTTGTCTCCTACCCTCGATACTTTCATTAAATTGCTCTGAGGTGAGCATAGTTATCATTGTTTATTATTCTTGTTATTGTTTTGAAACAATCACAGACTTATAGAAAGGTGAGAAGTACCATCTAAAGAACTTTTTTCCTGACTCATTTGGGACCGAATGCATCACCCGTTTGCTTTAGTGTGTATTTCCAATAAACAAGGATTCTCCTGCATAACCGTGATATAACCATCCAAATCAGGAAACGATCACTTCCGCGTTATTACTATCTAAGTCTCAGACCCTGTTCAGGTTTTACCATTTGTCCTGATGATATCCTTTTAAGCAGAAGGATCTAGCTCAGACTCATGTCACATCAACCATCTCCCACCTGATTGCCAATGCTTAGCAATTGCTAGTTTTTTGCAAGCTGCCAGACATTTCATTTCATAAGGAACAACCGCCACAGTCTAATCCGTTCTTCTCACCGCTTGATAGCACTTAATTCTTCAGTAAACAGCAAATAATTGGTGGGGTCCTGACTCTTGCAGTCTCCCAGGTTGACCATGCTGCTTTCACAGCAGCACCCTGTTTTCCTCTGCTGAGGGCAGCGTTGGTATCATTAAAATATGTAGAAAAGTCGAGGCTTCGTTGGTGTTCTGGAAGTTTTCTTTTGCTGCTCTGACAATAGCTTTTTGTCCTGTTAATCAGCTTTCAATTCAAAAGCAAATGAGAATCTTCTTTGAGCCTCACTCGGATTTGCAAATGCCCCTAAAGATCATCGATTCCAGTCTCCACTGCAACAGGTAACCCCTGCAAGCTTTCGCGTGCACGCGTGCTCAAATGTGTTAATGTGTTGTCGTCTGTCTTTAACAGCGTGAAGGAAGAAGTGTTTTGGAGGAACTATTTCTACCGCGTCTCCCTGATTAAGCAGTCGGCCCAGCTCACGGCCCTGGCTGCCCAGCAGCAGGCCGCCGGAAGAGAGAAGAGCCTCAGCAGAGAGGGCGCGCTGCCGCTCGCAGGTACAGAGAACGCCGCGCACAAGCGAGCCGCTTTAAAAATAGTCTTAACTCGTCTGCGGCCATGCCACCCTGAACGTGCCCGATCCCATCTGATCTCGGAAGCTCAGCAGGGTCGGGCCTGGTTAGTACTTGGATGGGAGACCACCTAGGAAGACCAGGTGCTGTAGGCGATAAAAAAAAAATAGTCATCTTAGACTCATCTGCTTCTCATCTTGCATGTGCCAGAAATGTCACGTCATCACATAGAAAATTCTTTGCAGAGGAAATATTCATTCTTCCCTTGCTGCCCGGTCTCTGGCCCCAGTCACACGTCTTCGCCAGGCTCTCCTTTCTTTTGCTATCTTTTTCTCATTCTTCGCTTTTTTAATTTCTTCCTTTTTTATTTCTCCCTTGATCACCAGTCATCTTCCCATCTCTCCTCTTGCTCTTTACCATGTGACATTTTATACCTCCGTCCTCCACTGGTTCATTCCACGCCTTTTCTTTGTTTCTCATTCAACCCGATGTTTCCCGAGTACTGGAGTCTATGGAGCAGAACTGAGCTCTGCGCTACTGCAGGTTACAAATACCCAGCTTGGACTCTTCCTTATTGTGACAGTTTACCCCTGGTCTTCAGAGAAAGTGTTTTATAATATCAGCAATCATTTAATACCTGTAAGGATAATTAAAATAACATGGATTTTGTGACATATTTTTTGACATTTAATGAATACGTGCTCTGTATAAGTAGTATTTACAGCTGGAGACTTCATAGAATTTTAAATAATTATGCAAAACTGTGTGCCCTGAGGCACGAGTTGTACAAACCACTAACGTAATGAACTTGCTCTACACAGTAAAATTTGGCATTTCGCATTTAACATGAATCCCAGGTGTCTATCATTCTGTACTATTTCTTTTTATCCATTTTATTGGAGAATGCCATTTTACCAAATACTACCTGTGTAACAAAATGGGCTTAAGACAGGGTTCAGTAGATACTGAACAACTAGTAAGGTTAATGAGATAGCAAGGTCATTTCTGAAAGAGGAGAAGCTGTGATTGAGCATTATACTGTACTTGGTACGTTCTAGCATTTGTGACAAAAGGAAAAGTTGGTAAATAACTTATTTCTCTATCCTAAAAGAAAGAGCAGAACTATTCTTCGATGAATTTTGCTAACACTAAAGTCAAAAGTTATTTCCTGCTGGAAATCTTATATAAGGGGCATCAAATATGACGACATAGTAAACATGTCCCCAAAAGAAAGAGGTTGAGATGGTTTCACCTGGCTATTTCTTGTACTAACTTAAAACCTGAAAACATAACATTAAAAACTCATTTCTGCAAATTATTTAGTATCATCATACTTGTGGATATTTTAGTTGTTATGAACGTATGTATTCAGAATTGAATCAAGCAATTATTGTCTCTTTTATTCTCACTTCTCAGAGGCAGTACGGCCCAAAACTCCGCCTGCTGTAATCAAATCTCAGCTTAAAACTCAAGAGGTAATACAGTTTTATGTTGTACCTAGTAGTTAATGTCTGGAAATGAAGTCACTCTGTGTTAACTCTGTGAGATACCATTTCAAACAACTTATAAATGTGGGTCTTATTTGTTCTGAAGAAGAGGGGTCCAGTACTTGAATAGTTAAGGACCTACAGCTGACACATGAGGCGAGTCCCTGGCATATCTCATTCTAGATGTGCCAGTCGGGAATTGGGCAGAATGATTGGCGTGACCCAAACTATGAGTGAACATAATAGGTTCAGGCGGTAACTCATTTGGTTACCCAGCAACTGTGCAGGTTAGAAGGTTGGAGAGCAGTGAGCATTCGACTAGCAGAGGAAGGAAAGGAAAACGATGCTGCATTAAATTGTGAGGTGACCATAAGCGGGAGCCCTAGCACATAAATTTCGCTTAGAAAACCGTTTCCAGAGCTTATCTGTTGCATTTCAGGAAGAAGAGGAGATTTCCACCAGCCCGCTGGTTTCTGAATTTGTCAGCGATGCCTTCGAGACCTGTAACTTAGATCAAGAGGATCTGAGGAAGGAAATGGAGCAGCTGGTGCTTGACAAAAAGGAGGAGACTGTACTCGAAGGTACAAAACAAGCGTTCTGTTACCCGTCCGATGTCGATCGTAGAAAATTGTTATTCTGAAGCAGATATACAAAAATAGGCTATAACTTTTGCATCAGAATTGCTTCACTGTGCCCAACCAGAAGGTGGCTTCTAGCGCACGTGACCAGGTTGCACGCCCCTCTGCTCTAGGCATGTGCGGAAGCAGAGAGAGGACACACTAGAACCCAGAGAGGTTAAGTCATGCGAGGCCTCGCGGCCCCAAGGGCCTGCGGGCAGGAGCGGGGAGGAAGCAAGCACCCCTTTCATGTGCAGACACTGACCTCTGGCGCCCCGCTTTAAAAGCTGGCATCCTCTTTGGGTTTATGATTGTACCTAGGAGATTCTTTTCCTGGCTGCTGAGTGCCAAGGAGCATTGCTTCTGGGAAGGAGCAGGCTGCCTCTAAAAAACTAAAATAATTTAGAAAAATAGCACAAGCAGTGGGGGAGCTGATTTCTTTGGCACATCAGGACAAATTACTGGCTTTCCACTGGCTTTCAAATGAAGAGTGTTTCCTGGAGCTCTGAGGCTCATGGTTCAGGGAGCTGGCAGCGAGCGCCAGCGGGAAGAGTAGCCAGCCTTGGGAAGCTGGCTCCTGGCTTCTCCAGCCAGCTGCTCTTTCTCTGAATTCCTGCCCTCGCTGTGACTTGGGCCACTTCATGTTCTTTTCCATAGTAGTTGTCTCGGCCCCCGGCAAAATTGTAAGTTCCTCAGGGTCAGTTATCCCCCACAGCACGTGACATGGAGCCTGGCGCCCAATAAGCACCTAATAAACCTTTCTGAAATCGTTCAGTTGCTACACAACACTCTTTTACCTTGAGCAAAAAATTGAAACATTTAGTGTTTGTTTTCTCTATAGGTACTAAGTTTGTTTATTTTCAAAAGATGAAAATGAATTTTAGCTTTAATTTTTATTTTTTACTATTCATTTATTTATTTATTTTAGGCGAGGCAAGCCTTGGTTGACCTCACAGATTGCAAGGACCTAGTCAGCTTACAATCTCTTATTTTATATTTTTTATACCTACTGCACGTGGTCTTCTTAGGCAGTCTCCCATCCAAGTACTAACCAGGCCCGACCCTGCTTAGCTTCCGAGATCAGATGGGATCAGGCTTATTCAGGGTGGCATGGCCGTAGACTAGCTTTACTTTTTAAATATCCAGTTTGTTTTGTTTTCTCACTGTTTTATAACACTACATAACAGATGCCTTATCCTATACATACATACTCACATATGCGCGCGCACACAGACACACACACAGGTATGTTGAGCGCCCAAGCAGAAAGTTGCAGCTCTACATCTCAACCTGGAAGACCAGTGCAAGAGCTCAGATGGAGCCTCATGTGAGGGACCAGGCTTCAGCAAGACACTGCCTGACTTCCAGTCCCAGTGTCCCTTGCCATTGTAGGGAGACTACTGTTAAAGTGGTTAAGCACCAACCTTGGAGCCTGCAGACCTGATGTCAAGCTGTGTGACCTTGAGCAAGTCCCTTAACCTCTGTCAGCCTCTACTTCCCCATCTGTGAAATGCGTGTAATAGTGGTATCTAGTCCACGGATTGTTCTAAGGATAAAAAAAATAGAGCAATATGCAGAGAGTAGTTAACGCAGTACCTGGCTCAGTAAGTGCTCAAAAAACATGAGCTGTTTTCGCTATCATCATCATCATTGTTGGTGGTAAAAATTAATTTGCAAATTTTAATTATCAATTATCCATATAAATTTCGGTAAAAGAGAGGCCTAGGTAAAGCGAAATAACACCCCAGACTCCCTGACGACATGTGATACCTTTGGTTCTACATTTAACAGATTTCTCTCTAATATTTCTCTTGGCCACTGTTAAAATCCGGTCAGTGTTTTGGAGCCGTGAGGAAGCCTGAGATGTTAAGTTACTGTGACTAGGACTTCCCTAGGCCATAGTAGTTGACCGAGTTGTTAAAGCTAGAGCAATAAGTTCAGAGAGAATCTTTTCCTCCTACTTTGTTTCTTTTAGAAGACTCTGCAGATTGGGAAAAAGAACTGCAACAGGAACTTCAAGAATATGAAGTGGTGACAGAGTCAGAAAAACGAGATGAAAACTGGGATAAGGAAATAGAAAAACTGCTGCAGGAGGACAATTAGTTTTCTCCTGAAACAAGCATTATCCTTCACAGTCTGTAACCGTCATTAAATTCTCGAAGGCATGAAACAGTATAACTATGAATTCTTTTTTAAATTGAAACTCGCCTTTTCTTCTCAAAAAGTATATAGAACAGTTATTCTAATAAATCAAAAAGGGATATTTTATGAAATATTTCTTTAATATAAATCCAATTAGAGACGTTCTTATAGTCAGTATGGATATCTTAGCCACAGAAACATAAGTAAAATTTTAGAGCTCTGTTTTCCATGAGGTCAAAAATATATTCTTCAATTATGGTTTTCTAAATATTTGTACTTACTGCGTTTGCATTGATACGTATACGTTAAAGTACTTAATAGATTGATAACTATGAAAATGACCAAACTGTACCAAAGAACTGAACACAAAGCACTTTCAGAACTGTTTTCTTGGTATTTTTTTGAAACTTCATCTGGAAGCCAAAAGATAAAATAATCACAGTGATTCCAATAGTATAAACGTCACACAATTTGACATTGAGAAATACTGTGCAAAAATATTCTTCTCTGGGGCCTTTTCTTTCTCATTTAACTATACCACATTTAATAATACTTTTTTTGCCTAAATTTCACGTGACGGATTTTGTAGGAAGCAGGGCCTCTCATGCTTTTTGTATTAATGACCACCAGAAGCCTGTTCAACTTAAAGTCTTGTTGTTTAAATCGTCGCCACATATAAATGTCTTAGCTTTGTCTTAATTAAACTGCCAGTCTTTATAAAATTGTTTTCCTCTGAGTACAACTTCATGCAGTGCTACTAGTGTTCTGCTAAACTATCAGGCCCATTTTCACGGAAGACGGTTATTCGAGATGAACAGGGTGGCTTAACTTCCAAAGCATTTGCTTCCCAAACCTTTCATGTTTCTCAAGGAGCCTTTATATCTTAAAGGGGAATAGAATTAAGACAGTTCTTTATAAGAAAGATGTACATATTTATATGCTTGGCCCCACAAAAATTAGTCTGTGCGGTCCGCTGGCAAAGTTAGAGTCAATGAGAAAACTGAGTGAGTATAGGTCCAAGCGTTTGTAGTTTGGGATCCACACGTGTGAACGAGCCAGACTATCTCAGCTGGGATCACTTGGGTCGCAGCAGTAAACTCACGTGTTCTGTGAAACCACCGCCGCCATTATCAGGAGATTTCTCCTGCGGTGCTATAGTTGCTGATCACTGAGTTTGGGTTCAGAGATGTGACTGGCAACATCTGGAGTAATCCTTTTAAAGAGAAAGGTTTGTTTTCGAATAGAGCTTGCTGGAAGGAAAGAAGCAAGTCAAATGTGTTTGAAGTAGCTGAAAATCCTAGATGTAAGCAGATCAGAATGTGACAGTGCTTGACTTTTAGTATAAGCACTAAAATTGTTATTGATGAATTTGAATAAATACAAAAAAAGGATTTCAGAGAAAATTCAAAATTTGAAATGACAGTAAAAACACTATCATTGTTACTATCAGTTTTCCATGATATTGCATTTATAAATAACTGAATTGTGCATTGCCCTGTGATAATAAAAGGATTTAATAAGACTTTTTACACAGCAAAAAAATAGTTAATGCCATATTTTTATGAATTCATCAAGGAGTAAAATATTCTGCTTTTGTAAATTATACAGGTAACCGAAGTGGTATTCCTTTAAAAGGCAAAATAATTTGTAACCATGTTTGGTGGAACATTTCTAAGTATTTATTTCATGCCTGGGACTTAGCCAACAATATACACTGCGCATAAAAACACGTAAGTGTCACAAAACGTTAAAATACGAACATAGCGCATCACACTAGGGGAATTATATAGCTCACTGCTTGCTGCTGGCTCGGGAAGCAGTATGGGCAGCCTGTCTTGGGAGTTTATCGGAAACGCAGAGCTGCTGACCCAGACTCCATGTGACCAAGACCCCCGGGGGTTAGAATGGACCTTACGGCTTGAAATGCACTGGACTAACGTGCTGATACACTCAGGGCAGCCGAGCATCCTGGTGCTTTTTACTTCTTACCCAAACACTGGTGTCCTCGGCCGACAGTGTCTTTACAGTCACAGGTGCGTCCTCTGCTCTTCCAGTCGGTACCCACTGCCCACTCCCGTTCACACTGCCATATTAAGAGGAACCAAGTTCCCAGGGAGGCCACAAACCTGCGAAATCAGATATTTCTAATAGCACACATTTCAAAAGATAATGACACCACGAAGCAGAGATGAGGCTCTCTGAGAACTGTTTTACATGTTTGAGCCACTTGGGCGGCACCAGAGGGCTGACGTGCTCTGAGGCTCCAAAGGATGGATGCCGCTCCGTGTGGCATGTTTATGCACGTGCAGTCAAGTAACAAAAATAGCTTAAAGGGAAATAGAGCATTGAACCAAACTAAGTCTTTAAAGCTTGTTTTAGGTGCATGGAGTTAGTATTATACGCAACATCACTGTCCGTTTACGGTTATAGTAGTTTATGACGAGCATGTCGCATCCCTAGCTAATGTGGCCAGTCTGAGAAGGAGGCTGCCGTGCTACGGCGGACACAGTGTCAGAATCTCCTTATACTCAAAAGTGGGAAATCTCAATTTGTAATTTTTGAAACGTTAAACTAGAGAAGCTTTTAAGAGATAAAGCAGCAATTATACTTGTGCTCAGTACTTTCAGATGCCCTACTGTAACCAAGATAGTTTGCCACAATCAAAATATTGTCACAGATAGGGTTTTTAGAACATATTAAAGGTTTACTGAAAGAAAACTTATGATCACATCCAATTTGCGAAATTTTGTTTGCCTCCTTCACTGCTTTGATATAAAAACCAGAACTCTGAATGCGCTATAATTTAAATAATTTGATAATGCTTGCTCTTTCTGGTAATAAATTTTCCCTCTTTTTTAAGTAAAGATAAATATTTTTTAACTATGAAAACTAGGTGAATTTAATTTTAGCAAATTAATTTTCAGCTTTTAAAAATCTGGTAGAAATTTTTGATATAGTTTATATAATCAGCTTTATTGGGGGAAACAGGCCATTTTAATGAATGATTACTTCCACAGACTACATTGATAAGAAAATAAAATTACAAAATGCATGTTACAGTACCCCAAAATGATGGTGCTTAGAAAACTAACGAGTCATGACAGATGACAAATAGACATGAAGTTTTAATCGCATGTAGTTATATCTCACGAATCATCAAGTTTTCTGGTCTTCACACTAAGGGATTTGTTTAGATAAAGCCATTTATGATTTCAGTTGTTTATGATCGTTTTAAAGCATTTATTCTGTGCATCCTGGTCTATTTCCAACATGAAAAACTATATTACACTCTGTTCTGAATAAACTTCACTTTTAGTGGTAAGATATGTTATAATCGTTTTTTCCTGACTAAAAATTCTGTTCTGGTAAAGAGGGCCTGTAAATAATTCAGTTATCTGTACATAGGTTTCTATTAGAATTAAAACTACCTTGAGATAATACTGAGTCTTAAAAACACATTTTACTTTTGTTGTAGACTTCTACTCAAGTGCAGTGGGTTGTCCTTCATATAAAAGATTATTCTAATCCACAGTCAATAGGTCTTTTACTCAAGCTTACTGTGGGATTTTTGCTCCACCAGGAGTGATGATATATATACTTATTGATCTATCTTATTCTTTACCGATGGCCATGGTTAGCACTGACCATGCTTTCTGCTGCCTAGAGATAGAACTCGACAACGTTAATCAGCTCCTATAATATTTAAGGCTGTTCTCAGTAAAGCTGGAAAAAAATTAAGCCTGTGACCTAATAAGTAGAGATAATAGGTCAATTCATCGTAATGGAAGATTTTGGTTACTATTAAAGTATCCACATTATAATCACGATTATAGCCCTGAAGTTCAAAATATTTTACATTACTGCAGTTAATGCAAAAATCCAGATACAGCAAAATGGCCAATCACCACAATTTTAAGTCATGCAGATTACTGTGATGTGAGAACTGAGCTAAACCGTATGCCACTATCAAATATAATGCCACTAGCTAAAAATGTAAAGTGTTCTTTGTTAATTGAATTAACAGAACGCATGCTTGTGAAATTAAGGCATGAAAATAGACACTACTCAAAATCTGGACAACACAAAAGTAATTTCATAACAAGAGCACGGGATGGGTGTCTTACTGGGCATATTATGCTTTTCAAAATGGGCTAAGCCAGTGAATCTCGTGGCTTAGGGCAGTGATCCTGCACTTGAGAACCACCTGAGATCTTTAAAAATCCTGAAGTCCAAGCTCCACCCCCAGAGAAACTAATCGTCCTGAAATGTAGCCCTGAGCATAAGACGTTTTTTAAAAAACTCCCTCAGTGGTTCTGATGGGCAGCCGAGCACTGGGCCCAGGGATTAAGGACTGAGGGAAAAGTCAGATTTGCTTGGGGAAGACACTCCACCAGGGGGCGCACAGCTGCTTCCTTAGAAAAATGAGAGGATGGCACTGCAGGTTTTTTCAGGTCCATCCCATGTTCTAAATGTTATCCTATTTTAAGATAGCCCTTTGTAAAGTAGATACTATTTCAATTGTTTGCAGTGTTTTTAAAATTTTCTGAAATGTACAATACCTTGACTTTCTGATCAAATATGTCAGATTAAATATATACATATATATCCACTTTATCCACAAACCCCACTAAATAATAGTAAAGGAATAAAAAAAAGTATACATTTTTAAAAATTTATTTAATTAGTTTCGAGTATACAGTACATTGGTTAGACGTGTATATAGTTCAGAAAACGATCCCCCCAACTGCACCCTTCCTCCCCTGACCCTCCACCTAGCCAACATATTAATGCTACTGCATTCCCTATGCCGTGCTCCCCATCACCGTGTCCATCCATCAGCTACTAATTTGTACTTTTTTAACCCTTCGCCTCATTCTCCCAGTCCCGTCCTCTAGATAGGGCATTTGACCCTCTTCCTTATCCACTTTGTTTATTCCATTTAATATACTTCTCGTCTCAGATAATATGTTCTTCATTTCAGATTGGTTCCCTTTTGTAATTTTCATTTCCATTTTCATGTTTTTTATCTCTTTGTTGAAGTTCTCACTGAATTTATCGACAGTTCTCAAAAGTTCATTGAACATCTTTATAACCAGTGTTTTGAACTCTGCATCTGTTAGATTACTTGACTCCATTATATCTGGATCTCTGTTCTGTTCTGTCATATGGTTTCTGCTTCTTTGTCTTCCCATTTTGGCTGCCTTTCCGTGTCTGTTTCTATGTACGAAGCAAAGCTCCTAAGTCTCCTGGTCTCATTAGTGTGGATTTGTGAAGTAGGTGTCCAGTGGCACAGTCCTGAGAAGGGTTCAGCTGCAGGCCAAGTTTAGCCCCAGCCTGTCCCCCTCCGGGGCCACCTGTTAAGATTCAGCAAGCAATCTGTGGATTCACAGATGCTGTGCTTATAGTTGCCTCAAAAGGCCACACCAGAAACCGAGGCCAGCTACCTCCAGTGTGAGTCCAGGCGCTGCTCAGCAAGGAGCACCTGACTCGCTGAGGATATGCCTGGATGCGGCTTGGGTGGGGCCGCAACTTGGGGTAGGCGGGGTTTCAGGGGATCCTCTGGGTGGAGCCACCTCTGTTTTCCAGTTTGCTGATGTCACAGCTATGGCAGTCCTGTGTCCGCCACTGGGAGAGGAGAGGGCTCAACAGGGAACAATGGATACCACCGGCACGTCTGTACAGAGCAAGTCTTGCCTCGGCCCTCACTCCGACAGTGTCTCCCTGTAAGTCCCTGGTGCCCCTTAGGCGCAGCACTGGTGCTCAAAGCGAGCAGGTCCGTCACTGCGAAAATCCGTTTATGGACGCGGCCCCTTTAAGAGGCGTCTGCCATCGCCACAACCTCTGTCTCAGCTGCTCAGGACCTGGCAGCTCTGCGTCTTCACCCGTCCTACCTTCTGCCGTTGCGGAGTGCTTTCTTGGATTTCTCCCTAGTTGTAGGGCTTATTCATCTAGATCCCAGGCGATTTTCCTTGCTATTTGCTCCTTGTTTCCGTCACAACTTTGATTTGGTCGCCAGAGGGATGAACAGAGCCTCTATCTACGCCATTTTTCTAGGTCCCCTCGAAAATGTATACATTTATAATAGTGACAAAAAAGGAGAGCAGGCAACAGCGGTCAGGTGGCGACAAAAACATTTTGATGCTTCAGAACCCTGGAAAGCCTCAGAAATTCTGGAGGCACTTTACCTCCGAAGGCCGAGGAGAAATTGGTATCAGAAAGGGAAACTAGCAATCTCTGCCACAATTTCAAACTGAAAATCAAGAAAGAGCATTATGAGTATATTATGAGATAAAGAAGCAAACGGATGAAACTGCTAAGTGTTTAAAATGGTGTTTTGGGGGAAGTGGGAATTGGGGATGAGGAAAGGCAAGTCAGAGGTCTGCTGTTTTAAAAGTCTTGTGTCATTTGACTTCTAAAATTAAAATTGAGTTTATGTATCATTTAGATTTGAAAGAATAACTTTTAAGCTACTTTTGACAGAGGGATGGGGGAAAGGTATGCAAATACTGTAGATGGGAATGTAAAATATTACCCAACAGCCATCTTACCAAATGGCCGCTGGGTGATTTGGATCAAAAAGTTAAATGTGGGATGTGGTTCCATAGTGTAGCGGTTGGCACGTCTGCTTTACACACAGAAGGTCCTGGATTCGTGCCCCAGTGGAGCCATGGTTCATGGTCTACGGCCAGGCCACCCTGAACAAGCCCGATGTCTGATCTCGGAAGCTAAGCAGGGTTGGGCCTGGTTAGTACTTGGATGGGAGACCACCTAGGAAGACCAGGTGCTGTAGGTATAAGTAATGATAATAAAGTTTTTAAAATTTTTTTAAAAAGTTAAATGTGCATTTCCACTCCTTGGAATTTATCTACGGAAGTAGTTGGATAAGAACTGCTTTGATTATAAAAGAGAAAAATTAGAAACTACTTACATGCCCTACACCAGAATCTTGATTTGAACAAGTGATGGCTCATCTGTACAATGGAATTACGTGCATGTATTTTAAATGATGGGTTTTACATCCACCGGACGGTCAAAAATGTAAATCTGAGAATAGCAAGAATTGTTGAGCTTGTGAAACAATGGGGACGTTGATATACTGCTGCTGAGAGCGTACACTGGTACAATGTCTTTGAGAAAAGGCAAAAATTGGCATTATTATGAAAAGTTGAGTATGCACTTCTTTGACCAGCCATTCCTCTCCTAGGGAGTATAAAATGATATAGCTACTTTTGAAGAAACTTACTATAACTTAGTAAAGTGGAATGGAAGGATACATCATATGCAAGCAGGTGACATGTGCAAGAGTGTTCTGGTGACCTAAGGCTGCACCCAACCCAAATGTCCATCAACATGGAATGAAAACATAATGAGTGAAGAACAAAGAACATGAAGGACAGCTATACACAGTCACGTGGAGGGAACTGTGAATCTCACGGATATGACGTTAAACCAATGGAAAGAAAAAAAAGCAAGACGCGAAGGGACAGGATAACCACAGGTACATGAGCTATAGACACAGATAAAGGAATTGAGCGATAAAAAGAGTAAAAGAAAAGCCAGAAGGAAAACCAAGATGGCTTTCCCAGGTTCAAGGTCTATCTTTGTACACCCAAAGGGAAGTCTTGCTCTGAGCAAGACTTCAAAAAATTAAGAACTCTAGTTTTTGTCCTTTATTAAAGCGACCCTTCAGTAAGAGTACTAATGCTTCTGCTATCAGCCTGG